CAGGATTACATTATTTCCTTTAAATTCATATTCTTCTTAGATAAAAGGTATAAAACGCGAAAAAAATTCACCTCTTGCTGCTCATTGTAAGTGAATGAAAGTTTCCCACCACATCCATAGGTATTAATTTTTCTTTAAAAGAACTGAAATTAAAAAAAATTAATTTCACAATCAAAATGATGAGTTTTTCAATAGAAATTAAAATTAGAATATGATTGTAAAAAACGCAACAAATTGAGAGTAATACTTTCATATAATACCTTACTAATGAATATTTTTAAGACGTCACTCGAATCCACCATTTGTAAAGAATTTCGTAAGTTTGAAAAAGATTTTAATAATTCTGAACTCACATATAACTCTTTCCCTCAAGACGAATCAAAAGTTGGCTATGCGAATATAATCTGCAAACTTGCATTTTGTCAACAATCGTTTAATAATTTGGTAAAACACCATTCTGTATTCTCGTTCGTTATATTTTCCAATAAACTTGAAAGATGTGCCTCTTTCATGTGCTCGCCGACCACTTCCCTTACACATGTAGCATAGTATCTATGATTGATAATGATGAATTTTTTAAACACAGCAATTTAAAATTAGTACACAGCAATGGAAATCATACGTATACGGTACTAAAATTAACTAAAAATTATATTTTAAATGGAAAATAAAGAACTTTTCTTTAACTTTCACATTCCATTTATTGTCTAAAATCCAAATTCTGGTATTCTACGGAATAAATTACGTTTTTTTCATTTATTTTCTCTAATTTTCTATATAATATACTAATCAATGATAGATTACTCAATGTAACATCCATTCATCATAGTTTTGAATTCCTTAAGGTATATATATATATATCCGAAATGTCCGGTGTGAAAGAAAAAATTTTTTAAGTTCGTCAAACTTGTAAGCAGTTATTGTCGAGTTCTTTTGAAAAAAGTCATTTCTGATCTGCATATAACTAAGTAGTGTATTGTACTGTATATAACTAAGTACTGATACGGTTGATTCACTTTGAGTATTCTTTATTAATAAACTCGAGTTTATCTGTTAAATAAAAATTTTTCAATTGTATAAATGAATTTAGAATTCATGTAAATCATTGAAGATATAACATTTGTTAATTTTTTATCAATAGTTTGAAACAATATTAAAAATTAAATTTATTATTCTCAAATTATTTAACATTGTGTTAAAACAGAAAAAAATTAATAGATTGTTTTGCTAATAGTAAGAAATAAAGCAATTTAATGAAACCATTTGAATTAAATAGACTGTGACTAAAGAAAATGCAGAAGATAAGAGATTTCCACTTAACTTTTAACTATGGAACTTACACTTTTATTAATAATGATATGTTCATGAAAATGTAACTCCCCAAAGTGTACTAAGACAAACTAGCAAGTGACAACAGTCAAACGAGATCTGAGCAAAGGCGCTGTACAAACAACAGAAAGAAAACAGCACCATTCCGATTTACCCCACGAATTTTATTACGACTTTCAACAAATTAAAATTTTAGTGCAATAAATTTAAATATTATTAAATATAATTAAAAAATATAATTAAATCATAGTAAAATAATTTTACAACATGTATGTAACAAATTTCAAAGATTAAGTAAACTTTCAATACGTTTCTCGTCGGTCGATTTTTTTAAATAAAATTGAGATCGAAGTATTATTTTATTCTTAGGCGATTTTTTATGATAAAAAATACTTGAATCACGCGCCATTCCAGGTAAATTGCGGACACAATTTTCTTTATTTTAGAAAATTTCTTAGATAATGAATATAATCCATGATTTTTACAAAAAAAATTCGAACTCATTATACAGTTATTAGGAAATAATAATAAAAAATTTTTTGTAGCAGTACCCGTCAGTTATTTGCACGACTAAATTCAAATAAGAGTTCCGCAATTAACAACATCATGCGTCAATTTGATTTAAAGATATTCATTTCTCAGCACGCAGATTCAGGCAGTATATGCATCTCAATATGCTCGTCTGATAATAAATAGCCCTAATTTCCATTCGAACATGTACAGGACTGACTTTTCTAGCAGATCGTTAGGTCGTTATGTGCAGGACCAAGCCAGCTGCTTTCCAGACGCATCCACTAGATCTCAGACTACGTATTACACTTTCATCTAAGAATGGCATCATCTCAGGAGGAGCTTATTTAAATATGGTAGCTGAGAACTGCCCCCGTGCATTATAGCCTCGCTCCACCTCAAGAAGCTTCGATTTCCCGTGAGACCTGCTGGTGGTGGCGGTGATGGTGACTGCTTGGCGAGATTACCGAGAGCTTTATGATCTCGTGACATGATCCACTCGGATCTATTGTTTTTTGTGCTCGATGATGCAGCCACGCGAGTCGCGCACTGTAAAGCCAATAAATTACTCTGCTAAGGACGTTTATATTAAAATTTCCCGACAATAGCATCAGGTTGAGCGGGAGCTTTTATAACGCCAGCTAAGACACTGATACAGGTTCATAGTTCAGTTTTTAGCCTAAGGAAGAGAGATGAGTTTTACAGAAAAGGAAAGGGAAGGGTAGAGGTAGACTTTAACGTTAATATTAAATATCGATCCATTCGAACAAGCTTCAACGTCAACTTGGTAATCATTGTTGATGACTTCACCTCGAAAAAATTCTTCAAATTGAGACCAGGGACTCGAGTGTGTGAGTGTAATATAATACTTAAGTTACAGCTGCATTCAAATATTACGGTCGTAAAATTTAAAATTACTAACATTGACGTATCAATATTTTCTAGCAATCATTGTATTTTTATTTGGACTTGTAATAAATAGGAAGAAAGGGTTTTATATTCAAAAATTATCATTTTATTTTCTGTCATATCAAATTTTGCATACATTTTTAGAATAAAATTTTAAGTTTCAATAAAAGTATATGGTATACTGAAAATATTTTTAAATAATAATTAGAGCTTACCTTAAACAAAAAGAGACATCATAAAGATTCTACTTGAGCCTTATATTTTTGTATTGTATGGATCAAATTATATCAATTCGCCAAGTAAAATTTCTAATGCCGATGCAAAGTTGATATAATAGTGACAATTTTCCCGTATAGAGAATGTCAACGAGAGTTCACGCAAGCAGTGCAGCAGAAAATAGGCTGGCGGTGGTTTCACTCACGTAGCGAAACTACGTGGTAACGTCGCCTCAGACCAACCGCTGGTGATTGTGGCTAGGTGATTTGTGTTGACTAGCTGTCTAACATAATATACACGCACAATATGACTTTGATGCATTTATTTCATGTGTTAAACTATCGTAAACCAATGGCCATATATATAAGGCACACATAAGCCGCGGCTTAAAGACGTTCAAGGGACTCGTCAGCAACTAGAACGAGTATTGCCTCCAGCTGTCTTTCCAAATTTCCAGCTGCTTTGATAGCTCGCGTATGTGCGCATGGATGATCAAGTATTTGAAAATTCTCAACAAAAGCTTGACTCCAAGACTGCGAAACTTTCGGGCGCATCAAAACAATAACAGACGCGCTAGCTTTTGTGCAGCCTGCTGAACTATCATCACATGCAATAATGAGATAGAGAGGCGAGAGAGCTGAAACCATCGGGATCGAGGCCGCTGGCAAAGTGTTCCCGGCTCTGCGCGCTTATTTTTCCCTCATCTTAGATACCACCGGGGGAAGACGCTTACTTGCATAATATGTAGATTATATAAATGTGGTTTTTATATACAATGCACAGCTTCGAGAGGTCGTTGATGAGAATGTAGAAAGCCGTTCCAAAAGTGCTGACTTATACTGTTGCCGCCCTTCTACCGCGGCAGATACATATTTATGATACTGAGTTGCATCTTGATGAACTGCGCGAATATTGTAATTTAATACATCGAGTAACAAAAAATATAGCATTTTTTTTAATAAACGAATAATACAGGTAAATATTTTCTTAAAGCGTATAAAGACCTTAATCATTATATAATATCCAGCTGATAAAAGATACTTAAAAGGGGTCAAGACTTGAACGATTTTTCTAATAACCAGCAATATAAGGTAACCGAGAGGTTTACAAGTGGTACGTTATCAAGTGCATCGTAAGCTTCTTAAGAGACACGTATCTTAGTAGGCACTCGAATTAATTGCTACATGCGTACAAATTTCGAAAGGTGTAATTATAATTTTGAGCGGTTCGTCGAATTCGCTTATTACTTGTCAAACGTTTCCAAGTCGCGCACAGCAATGTAATCGCCATAGAGCTGAATCACATCGCAGCAGTTATAATTCAGTTGCACGAGAAAACCTTTGACGCGGCTTATACATTTTACAAGGCATTTTAATCAGTGCTCACAAATTTAGTGCTTGTCTGATGTAGAGAGAGACCAACCGCAGCTTGTGTATACTTGAGCTTTTGCGCCCGAGCTACTTTGCTATTCCATTTTGCGCAGAGAAAGGGAAATGGAGCGAAAGCCTAGAAAAGAAGAGAGATGAAACTTTTTCATTTTAGTTATTCTTCGTAGGGAGCTGCTAAATTCGTTTTGAGCTCTGCACGTCAGCGCTCTGCACGTCTATCAAAGAGCCTCGCCGCAGCCGCCAGCACATGTGATAATATCGATGGATGTTCGTATATGAGACAATTGTTATAGTTTGATAGTTAGAGGAAGAGAAAGTTTTGGACAACAATGCATTGTCTAAGAAACAGGAACCAGCCACGTTGTAACTGCATTTCAAGTAAACTACCTCGTTATCGCGATCTATGTACTACAGTAATGCTTATGGAGTATATAACAAACTTCCAGCTGGGAGCGGTAGTGGTGACAAGTTGTTTAATTGCACTTTTTTGACTCTCATTTTTCTTTCTGAATTTGACGAAAGACATGCGAGTCTGCGACCTTTACTCACCTGAGATTTTTAATCACCTTTTAAACACCAAGAGAATATTTTTTTGTGTTATCCTGAAGGTAAAAATAGCTTTAAATAAGCCAGTAAAAAATGATTCAATTAGGCTTTCGAGCACAAAATGTTAACTTTATTATAAATATGAATTAGATCACTAACATAAGTTTTAACGTACATTTTTATAACGTGCTATTTATAACTTTACATATTATATCATCTCATTTGCCACTACAGTAACAGAAAACAATTTATTGAAACTGGAATGGAAATGAAGCATTGAAAAATATAAATATTTACATAACAACTTGTATACAATTCGCTTGCATATTCAAGCACTCTTTTCTAATGAGTGATAAGATTATTATTTACACATCAATTTTCAACTTCATTTCTTTTAATAATCTGTAATTTAAAAAGTAATATCAAAATTATGTAAGGTAGAAAATTTATAACTAAAAATATTCGACAATATGTACAAGTGTCAGTAAAAACGTAACCTTTTGCAGGTCAAAAATCTCTTATTAATCGTTTCTGCCATTTCAAAAGTACCATGAATTACAAAAAAAAATAACAAACTTATAAAACAATCTTATGTCTTTTGAATAATTTCTCTACGATTCGTATAATTATTCAGATTCTGGATTGGGAACGTTTTGTAACTATATGACTCACTCATTATTTTTAATTCCTCTTTTTTTTCACTGTGAATGCATAAGTTAATTCTTTAATTGCGATCGAAGATAAAATATCTTGAAAAATCATTGCGTATTATTCGACTATCTTGAGTAGAATAAAAGTATACTTAATCCCAGTAAAATTGAGCAGATGGCATTGTGGTATTGACTGCTTGCACGCGACGATCGCACTGTAAAAATAATTTCGAATTAATCTTCGTATTTAGAAACAGCAGTAAATAAAACTTTTCAGAATTATGATCATGTGGGGGCTGCTCAAAAGTAGCTTTGTTTGGCCTGTACGAACTTACAGACCTACAGACAAGGGGAACTGAAGAAAAGTTTTTCAAAGCAAGTGTGTATACACTCAAGTGAGTGTTGCGCAAGACCGTGTAATAGCGACGCTCGCGCTCGTATCGACTGTATAATGAGGGATACCGAAGAGAAAATTCAGCGATGCAGAAGGGTTGTTTGCGATCTCAAAGGTGCTCTCAACGATTGCCCCACGCGCGCAACTATTGCAATTCTCTGGTATCTCGGGCGCCAGTCATTGAATGCGAAGAGTCTCTGCCGAGTTGATAAGCGGTTCCAAGTCTCTCTCTCTCTCTCTCTCTCTTTCTCTCTCCCGAGAGCTAGAGAACTTCGGCTTCGTCGCTGTTGCACTTGGAAACGACTTGGCCATATAATAAATGGAGAGATTCCATATACGTCGATGCACGTATTAAGATGTATTGTGCTGATATTAATACTCGATAAACTTGCACCGCGCACCGAAAAGCGAGTTCGAAATGTTTTGTCTCCTGCAGCAGCTATTGACCGAAGCCCCCCAGTCGCTTGAGAACTAAAGGAGCAAGAGCAAAAGCGATCGACTAATGTCTCTTAGTGTATTTGAATATTCGATTGTTTTTGGCGGGATTTAGACAAGAGGAGCATTTCGCTGTGAAATCGCGCAATTTATAGCTTGGCTTGCCGAGGTGCAAAAAGCATTACAATAGTCTTATCCATTATAATTCGAATTTAAAATATCACGATTAAATCCACGAGCGTTGAAAATTATTCAAATGAAATTGACAAAAATAAACGTAAATAAATACTGACCTCGTTCAGGGACTGGTTCGCGTAACCTAGTACCAAGCTGAAGCTCGCTCCACTCATCGTAAATATCAGCAATTTTTGCTCTACAGCGCAAATTCAGTTGGCCGCTGCGATAATGAAACGTTTGCAGTGGCATGCTCAGCTCGATTCCTTGCAAAAGATCTTCTGACGATGTCTGTCGATACTGCTGCTGCTGCTGGCCATCGTTCATCAACGACTTCGTTAGCTTAATGCTGTTGAGATCCGTTGATGACCTCGAGGATTGTAACTTTTGCTGATTGCTCTTGAGAGTTTGCACGTATATATTGTTTATCTGCAATAAAAATTATCGTTACTTCATCGTCAGTTAAACCTATATTAAAATTTTAATGTTTAATTATTTATGATGTTTAATAATTCTTATTCTATGTGTAAAAATCTTGCCGAATGTAATTGATGAAACTTTTTCAAATAAATACAAAAATTTCATGAAATCATTTTTCTCATAAAACCATTCTTAATTATCGAGCCTGTCTTTAACGAAGCTCTTTTGGACGATATAGTACGACGACTGGTACGGCGAAGCAAACAACTCCTTTTTTGTCATAACTTAATTTACTTTGAAAATAGTCTGCAAAAATAATAAAAAGGAGGTTGTAGGTTTCTAGGTGAAATGACAGTAGAAAATAGACATTCATCCACTCTAAAAGGTTAGCCTCTTTTAGAGTGACACAGAGTTCAAACATAAAAGAATCCGCTTTTTTCTAAAAAAAAATTTGCTCAGAAATGTCACTATAGGTAATTTCCCCATACTAGAAACATGCGTCACAACATTGAAAAGTATTTGATTAAAAATAAAACATAATTCACCCCGCTGTGGATCAAGTTTCTAAAAGAGGAAGAGATCATTAAAAAATAAAAAGCGATTTCAGTTGTATCTGAAGAACAAATGTAAATAACAACAATGACAATGTGTATTAATTACTTTGGAAATGCGGACCGTATGCACGTAACCAGACATGATACATATATTTTTAACCGCAAAAACAATTTGAGTGAGGAAATGGATTGTACCAGCAGTTTCGGAAATTCCGTAAATTATTTTAAAAAAAAAGGTCACCTCTCTCATGTAGCAGGCATGAATTTGGTTTTTTTCTGTGGTGAATAAATAAAAACCGCACCGGGGAAAAAAGCATGCAAAGGTTTTCGTTCATTGAATTGTAAAAACGACGTGTAGCATTTATAGCGGTATGCTTTGCAATGGCGATCTTTTTTGATATATAAATAATCGCTTTTATTATTCTCTATATTGTCTACAATATTATTAAATTATGCACACATAATTCGAGATATTTTACGTGGACGAGTCTGCTATCGATATTGTTGATAATTTATAAAGGATTATTCAGCGTATTGTGTAAATTTCCACCAAACTACATGCTACTGGTTAACCCTTATCGATGTTGACGTAGCTACATCACATCCACAGTCGAGAGAACGCGTGTATGGATGCTTTCAGTGCGACGGAAAATCCTATTTTCTCAAGAGATTCAATTATACCATACACAGTGTATTGGCATACAGACAACAAATACTCGGGCGCTCAAACGCAAACAATATTTTATTCGTCGAGAAAGCGATCAGTCGAGTCGAATGAACAAACAATTAAAAAAAAGCCAGCTAACTCGGTAAATTTACAAAAGATAATGGCGAGTTTATATTTAAGATAAAGAAGGTGTTTGAGCTAGAGAAGGCCGGTGAGCTGACTGCAGGTGCCAGGGAACTGACCCACTAAATATTTCACAGAGGCAAGAGCGAGAGCGGCGCCACGCGCGCGAAACTTACTCGAAACAAAGAGCCGTGTCGGAAAATAAGGAGGGAGTGAAAAGCATATTAGCTACTGCCGTGGACGCGTCGGGGGAAAAAGACAATAGCCCCAGGGATTACGGACGGGGCTCAGTGTCGCAGCGTTTCCCTCCTCCACGCGCGATGCGTCGCGACACTATAGCTCTCTCGTCGCTCTCTCTCTCTCTCTCTCTCTCTCGTTTTCTCTCTCACCCTGTGTGACGCAGAGAGTAAGAGGAACATGACATTAGTCGTTTCGATGCTCGTGAGCTGAAAAATGCGCGTGAATTTACCTGCCGTCCCGATATACAGCCGTACGAGTGAGGGATGGACTCGAGTGGGAAAAAAATTATAGCAATTCGCTAGTCAAACACGGACCCGTACGTAGTATAGAAGAGCAGAGATAGAGGCAAATTAATGGAGATAAGCGATGCGAGTTGTGCGATCTGCGCGTGGAGTACGCGGAGTGATTTGAAAGAGCTGCGCTTTGCCCCGCTGCAGTCGCCTCTGTATATTCGCAATCATATTCACGAATTACCACAACATCAGCTCTGGTGCAGCGCACTCGCATGTACATTCGAGATTGAGAATCACGAAACTTGCCGAATAATCCTGCAGCTCGAGTTTGCCGCTGCTCGCACAGTACTATTAGCTCCCAAGCAGCAGCAGCAGCATCAACAGCGCCGGCAACCTCGATCTCTATCATCTCCCTCTCTCTCTCTCTCTCTCGCACAGCAAAGGACCCCATATGTATGCAAATTTAAGCTCGATGTTGCTCGCTCACGGAGCTCCCGCACTCACACACACATATACATACGAATGCACATCGATATAATAAACTCGTCGGATTCTTTAGTGGCGCCGCTGCTGCTGCTGCTACGCTACTGCTTAACTTGTTGTTTGTCTTTCGATAAGCCCCTGCGATCCAAGCGAGGAGGAATCGGGGAAACGCGAAATTCTCAAAGTACAATTTATATGTATCGGATAAACAATCGACGCGCGTGCACGCAGCGGGAATATACTTTGCCAAATGCTTGAGTTAAATTACTCGGCATTGCACTTAACTGGGCGCAAGCACCGGCGATATGTATACTGAATTAGTCGTTACGCGTCGTGTACAGCACGTATACGTACGACATCGCGGCTGCACGAGCGCAACATCGATCTCGCAGTGCACCACCGATAAACCGATAAATCAAGTGGAAATTTGAACTATGATAGAAGCTAGCGTTTATACAGCGACGACTGTGTAGTGATCTATTTTACTCGGGCGGACCTGCGAAATGTGCGCGCGCGCGAGCGTACGACTGTATATATACGTGACAATCGGAAGAAGAGTGACCTTTGTTGTCGATGCTGCGCTCGCCCCGTAACTGCATCGAATTAATAAAGCATTGCAAGGCGCGCGATATTACCATGCTAGCTCGACGCGGCCGACTGTCAGTTTCTAACAGAATGTCTGCTCAACCTCTGTATATCCGCGAGACTGCGTTTGTCGCTGTGTATAGAGCTGTGCTCGAGTGCATTTCTGGGTGGCTCTATACGTCGGCCGTAATACTTGTGCGAAAGCTCCCCCGAGTAACTTGGGAAAAAAGTTAGTGTTAATATTGGCAAAGGTTAGCTCGAGCTTAGATATCTGCTTCGACTTAACTGCTTGGAAAATGATTCTGTTCTTTCCGACACCAGAAAGTATCTAGGCTGAGTTGCAGAAACTCTGGGATAAAAGAACCGACGTCACTTGGCAAGCTTCGAGTCGCGCGCTACGACAAAAAAAGTGTCAAAATCGACGCCTATGCCATCGAGATACTCAGGGTCGGCAAAAAACTCGACACATAGACGGGGCTGACTAAAATCCTTCGAACATGTCTTATACCCTTTGATATCTTCTAGAATGCCATGCACATGCCAAGAAAAAGTGCAAATTGAAAAAATCTTCTTCAGCCAACAAATCTTAAATATTTAATGGAAATGGCTGTTTTACTTGAGCATATATTTTTGGGACTCACTTTAAATTAATTTTTGATATAAATTTCTACAAATTTTTATCGTAAGTTTTCAGTGTATCAATTATTTCTAAGTAACTGATGCAATATGAAGTACAAAATTTGGTTTTAGCCACTATGTAAAAGAGTGTATGCATTATCTAAAAATCTCATTCATAACGAAGATTTGTGGCTTTTTTAATTGAACATTTCCCACGAGTTTTTAATAAGACACAATGTACAAAAAAAGTAAATAGACCGACGAGTGGTAGTAAGTACATATCATACGCACTCTCGGTAACGCTTCGTTTATTCGATACGCGCAACGGAATTCCGCATCATTGCTCGTGGCAGAAACATCCTCGTAGAGCTCAGCATCTACGTGGATATTTTCGCTCTCGTCTTTTTCTTTTCATATTTTTCGTACGCCAACTTTTTTTCTAGGCAAACAGACACACGCGCGGCTGTTGACAAACTTACCATCGAGTGTTTTTTTTACCCCAAGCGTCGTTGCGCATGCGTAGCCGGAGTCTGCGAGTAACTCGAACTTTGCGCAAAATTCGTCGAATCAAATGAGATTGCTCGCAATTCAATCACGTGTGATACTTGGGCCAACTCGCGCGAGCTTATCCCCCGAGAAATATCGGCAAAGTAAATCGGCGGTTTGAGGCGGGGGAGGCGAAACCGCGCAAATGTGGCGTCGTGTAAATAATTGCACTTACCGCGTCGTCGTTGAGGGTGAAAAAAATTCGAGCCGCTGGTCTCGAAAGTGGAATGCTGCAATTAGCTCGCAGAGTCTCTCCAGGCTCGTAACGTTTTCGCTCGGACGCGATAACGGGCTTGCCCCTGGGAACAGCTGTAAAATTGCCAAGATCATCTCAGTTGCGTCGTATTAATCGAAGCTAAATATTATGTAAATATCTCGACTGCGACGCTTCGCTCAAAGGAGAGCTGCTGCTCGTTAGCGTCGTGCCGCAACAATTACGCAATGAGCGAGAATAGAAACGAAAAAATTCAAAGAAGCAATTGGAACTACTCACAAACGACGGTGAGGCTTTTGGTGCTGGTCATGGTGGTGTAGCTCGGGTTCGTCGTCACCTCGCAGCTGAAGTTTCCTTTTAATATGAAGTCTACTTTGCGGATGGTCACTTGGCTCTCGCTCGAACGACTCGCCTATCGTAACATGTTCATCTCAATTTCGACTGATTCCCGATATATTCATACAGCTTAAATTACTCACGTCGACTTCGATCCAAGTGAAATTGAAAATCTTCGTTTGGGGCCTTTCGTTGGGCGAATACCTGTAGAACTCGTGTTCGCCCCGGTAGAATTTCAGTGAGTAAAGAGGTTCATCTTCGAGCTCGTACGAGCACCTGAGAATGGCCTCTTGGCCTTGCTCTACTACCTCTGGAGTCACCTCCAATTTAACATTTTTCAATCCTTTGACATCTGCAAAAAGAAAATATAAACGCCGGGCAATGTAACTTTTTTTCCTTTCAAATTCATTATCAAATATATAGTAACTTTTGCATTTTAAATTAATATCAGATTTTATAATGTAAAGATTTAAAGATTACCCCTTATTTACTCTAAACTTTTCGAATCAGGTCAAAACTTAGCTCCGTGATGTTTTTTTAATTTAAAACTTTATTCTGGGTGTCAATAAAAAATCATGCAGTCCTGAACATATTTTACGTTTTTAAACAAAACTTCAAAGAAAAAATTAGTTACTAAGTCAAAAGTTTGAAAACGCCGCTGAAGTTGCTATGGGAGACTCAAAATCTTCGTATCATTAATGAGCTCCAGGGTCTCAGGTGAAAAAAATCTCATGGGCTAATTTCAATTTTGGCCGTGTATCTTGAAAATTACCCAAGTGAATTTAACGGATCTTTATGTTATTCGATATTCGAATCATTAAAGTTAATGTTTCGCTTTTCCCTTTCTCTCTCTCTCTCTCTCTCTCTCTCTCTCTCTCTTCCATCTTTTTCTTTCTTCTACCCAGTTTACTTCCTCGTTTGTCGAATTATTTAAAATATCTCAACTTTCTATGATTGCTTCTCTTTAAAATTGTTGGCTCTTATCGTACCTTAAATTAAATAAAAATTATTTCATAGAATAAATATTCACATTAACCCTTTTCGGCCCAAAATGACCCAAACAACACCTCACTCTTCGAAGCTGCACAGTTTACACAATTGGTGTTAGAAAAAAATGCGACCTACAGATTTTTAAAGTTTGAAAGCTCTCCTTTTCAATGGTGGTATTTAAATTGTGTTAAAAAGTTATTAACATGGTGAAAAATTAGTTTAAACAAAAAAAGCCACAATTTTTTTCGGTTTTTTGGTTTTCAAACCAAATTTCAAACGTGTTTCGAGTTTGCCACGACCTCGGAAACTCATCAAACCGTGGCATAAATGTCTTACCTTTAAAATGACATATATTATGTACCAAAAATTTGCCGAGGAGTTAACAAAATGGCGTCTGGAATGCATAATTTTTTTGTATACTTTCATGAATTTTTTTTCTGAATAAATATTAACTTAAGGAAAAAATTACCAAGAATAAAAAAAGTCTTAGAATTACTCGAAGAATACACTAGAATTTTTTCAGAATTTTTCGAGCAATTTTTAACGTTTTGCAAAATTATGCGAATTGCAAAGTTAATTTTTTTTGGGTTTTGGGGCCGAAAAGGGTTTAAAAAAATTATCACTTGTGCTTTCTAGATTAACACTTAAATCTCAGCATTAGGGCTATGCGAGTACTCGATTTCTCGAGTTTTACTCGACTCGAACTCGACGAGTCAAGTTATTTCAAGTACTCGCACAGCCCTACTCATCATCATCAGTTCAGTCTTCTCTCTATATCATAGTCATGGTCATTAATATCGTAGTTTAGAATATAGTTACGAAGTATTCAGCTTATTTAGGAGTAATAATTCGTTCAGGTCACTCGAGTAGACTTATTTTCTCTCAAAACTCCTTATCTTTCTAGGTTTATTTGCATTTTATTTTACATCTCACATGTTTCATCAAATATGAGCTTTTTTAGTTTATCAAAAAGCAATCGCGTCTTCAATTTAAATATTTAAAGTTGCACATACATTAATCCTTTTCTAAAATTTAATCAGTAATACTTAAGGATGTTAAAGTAGTGATAACTTTTCAATTAATAAGAGGAAGGGTGCTACCCTGTTGGTAGTTATGGCAAGGACGATCATATCATCGTTGGCACTTCCCCTGGGCGGCACTTCCGATTTACGAGCTGACTGGCGGCTGCCTCGCACGTTCACTGTACGTCGCGGACAGATCAGCTCGATATTTATAGGCAGTAGCGAGATTCACATGCGCAGTTGAGTCTGCACGTGCCGCTCAGGCAAATAAACCCGTTTCGCTACAAGCTAGCCGACAAGTCATCGAGGGACTCGATGGATTTTCACGAGTCGCTTAAAGAAAGTCAAGTGCGTATATTCAGGGGCTAGGCACGTTAGTCGACCGAAGCGCAAAAGGTGAAAAATAATGTCGAAGCCTCCGAGCAAGGATGAGAAGCTGCCGAGTCGCTGATTATTGCGCCGCAGACTATGTGTGGCAGTAGTACGCGACGACCGCAGCAGCATCCTGCACTTTCAGCCTGTGTCTCTGCTTTTCTCCCTGCAACAGCTGCCACCTCCAAGCCACATCGGGCCGCACGAAGCCATCGCCGTGGCGTTCAATTTAATTTAAACTTGATTCATGCGCGACGACGCGTACGCGCAGTTTACCTCGATCGTGTTCGCCTAACCCCCCCAAAACTCGCATTGTTACTTTGTCTTTGCTACGACTGTTAAAAGCAATAATTTAAAAAAAATAATAAAAAAAAATTTTTTTATTAAATAAGAAATTTCGGTCAAAAACAGAATTTTGAAAATTTGTGATAATACTACTATGATGATTGCTAATTTTTTTATTCAGCAGAGCTACGTAGCATAAGTTATATAATTTACATGTAAATTAATTTTTTTTTCATTTTGTTTATACTTGTCAGGTATCAAATACCTAAATTGATTGATAAAATTAATATATAAGTAAATATTATATAGATAGCTGCATTAGAAAAAAAAATATTCACGATGTATTACAATTTGGTGCCCGTCAAACTGTCAAAAAATTGAAAATACGCAAATGAAAGATGAAGTAATATAAAAAAAGTAATTTGATCGATATCGTACATCAACTTCGCATTAACATGCGGCTTACAAGTACAATGTCTTCTTTCTTTCTGAATGCAAAACTAGATTATTATATAAAAGAACCTCATTTTCTCCTTCGTGGCGCGTATGAAAAGAAATAAACTTATGTAATAGGGCCAAACCAATATTGTTAAGGTACAATAATGAATGAACTTCTGGCGGGTCGTTGGATCACTGCTAAGACGGGCATTCACAACAGTATAACAATCACATTGCACAAAAAGTTTTATAAATAGAGAGTAATTTATAAATATACTGAATAAATGAATCACTTTTTTGGCAATATAATCTGAAAATAATAGCAAAACTTGTACGCTTTTAGAGCGGAACATTATTCAGAAATGGTCGAATGGAGTTAGAAAACTCATTTCCTTGGGACGGTGGAAGATTTGTGTGACACACGATACAAAAGTATTACTCGCGTTCCAGAGTGGTTGAAGTAATTAAAGCGGAAACTATGCCAGTGAAAGAGGAGGTGCGCGTTGGAAACGATTTTTAAAGCTCCTGTCATCGGTGGAGCGCGCGAAACCCGAGCCCAATCCAGGCTCTATTTTAAATCTCTGCGGCCGTAGCGACTAGTGCTCATACTCTTTTGCCGTTAGTTGCGGCCTCGCTCAAAATTCGACTAATGTTTGTTTGTTCCGAGGCGCTCCGAACATAGAGTGGAGCTTTCAGCGCCTTTTTTATCGCACCCCCTCGAAAAATATCTCGCCGAACGTATTGCAAGACCGAGCGCAAGAAGCAAAGTAGGAAATGTGTAGAAACGAGCCTTCCGTGATCCCGAGTCGTCCGGATCGTCGAGCTAAGCGGATGATAAATAATGCGATACCGGCTAAATCTCATCCAATTACAACTCAAAAGTAAGTGCATGTGATGCAGTTCTCGAGTGCAGCACGTTGGGCGCATCTTAATCGACGTCGGGCTGAGGCAAACTCGGCGGCGCACGCGAAAAAATGTCGAATCAATGGGGTAAACTCGTTGGAAGATTATTCCGTTTAATTTGGCGGGAATCAAAGTCCCTACGCTCGGATCCGACGAGGACGATTTACTTCATTCGATTTGGCCGCGAGAAGAAAAAGAAATAAAAAGAAAATACTCGTCTCTGAGCGAGCGAGCACACGGAAACGTATGGAAAGATAAAAACATCGAAGGAAAAATGGAGATAAAAGTGTATTATATATCGAGGCGGAGTAATAGAGCGAAAGGACAAAGACTCGTATAGAGCTTCGGCAATATTGTATTTTGACGAGCTTCGTGAGACGATTCCAGCGAAACTGTTCATCCGAATAAGAAGAAAAATAAAGAAAATCGGAAAGAGAACAGGTGGTTAACTTGACTCTGACATCGATTATATTGATTTTTTTTGTAAGTTTTGACAAATCATATTGTTGATGAAAAGAAAAAGATTCTGTAGCGTTTTATTGAGATCAAATTGTTATAAAAAAAGTCACAAAAATAATTTTTGATGTAAACTTGCAAAATAGAACATCAAACGAAAAGGAATACAATTTTAAACATTAAAGTGCAGCGTTCACACTTAATTAGGTATTTCGTAATCCAAGGTTCGTTTTGAGAAAGAAAAAGGATAACATTGTTAAGTGCATCAAGATACAATGAACAAATAGCCCATAGTCGTTCTTGTAGATATTTTATACGGATAAAGCACTGTGTGTAAGTCCATTTCCAGTTGGCCACCCGCACCGGGATCAGCCATGCTCGTAATTATGCGTTATTCCGGCTAATGTTGACCCTTGATAATGAAGCTGCTAATAAACAAAGCACCTATATAAACATATTCGCTCTGGGATAAGCCGGCGCGCCAACTCAGCACGCGCGTATAAATTTATATGGAAAGTTTATTGTCCCCGCGCTACTTTAGAATAGCGTTTGCGTCGGTGCACGATGTTCCTTAGTGCTGCTGCTTGCTATCCCATACACGCTGCGCATTTTCTGCGAGGCAACTTTTTCCCGCATCTGCGTGCAACCATTTGCATTAATACTGAGGGAGCTCCACTACAATTTATAAGAACGTATGACAAAGTACGATGCCGCAGCAGTGGTAAGGTATTTTCGAAGAAAAGTAACGATTGCCTTTCGTTCGAAGCTGCATTAGAAGGATTTGCTCTGCTCGTTGTCCATATATTTTACTGATAATAAAAGTTCTCGTGCTTGATCATTATGCGAATTTTTCTCTGTGACTCGCAAAAATTTTCGACCTGCTAGAGCGTAAAACAATAATACTTGTGTATCGATCGATAATGGAAGTTTTTTTACTGAACGGACCGTGTGTGTACCAAGTCGAGCACGTAATTTTACTTTTTATATTTTATTGTTTTTATTTTTTCCGAGTTGCATTTTGATTCGATACCCGTAAGTATTTGTAGTTTCAACATTTCAAACCTTCGGAACATACGTATACACGAGCAGTCTTTCGTAACGATATACCAATACATTTCGGTGATCGATAACAAAAGCGAAAAACAAAACATTTTTTAGGTTTCCATTTCAAGGCAAAACAAATATCCTGACAGAAAATGAAAAATTTTTTCGTTGCGAAAAAATAATTATCAAAAGGCCGAAAATATTTCAGCTGAGAGGTATTGACTGAAAAATTGCAGAAACTGATATCTAATAACGCGTCACGAGCGAGACCATGTAAAAATCTAACACGAAAGTTAGTCGTACGCGCGTTATTTAATATACCTTTTGTTCTTTTCTTTCTTTTGCGGTCCAGCGGGTGTCGGTTTACGCGCGCAGTTTTAATTTACGAGTTACCTTTTTTTGTTTCGAAAATTATGTTGAATTCCCAACTCGAAGCTCTCATAGCTTTTCAAGGATACGTAATACAACGAAATCCTGAGCCGAAACTTTTTTCAGCGCCGTTACATGTATTCGATACGTATTGTTTAATAAAAATAAGTGCTTGCAGTAATATCGCACGCGGTGAGAATTGGAAATTCGTGTTCAGCGTATATATTGCATGTATATATCGTCTGACAGCAGAATTTTCGATAACATATGGTGCCAACGTGCGGTCAGATATCTTTTCTATATATGTACATTGCAAGAGATTCAATACGGTATTGTTTTCAATTTCTTTGAAATTTTGAAAAATTAGCACCATGTTTCACGTTTGCAATTGAAAATTGAAAAAAAAACAACACGCGGGCCTGATAGTATTTTCATTCAATGATGACAGAATAATGCGCGAATACATAAAAAATACCAAACTCGACTGCCTTAAATTTGCCCGCAATACTCATGCAGAAGCAATGATGCATTTTTCAGCTTGCGGTATCAAAAAGCAACAGGAAACGCTTCGACTGAGACGGATGTTCACTCTGGCTCATTTTTCCCCGTGCATGTGTCCGTATGAACGATACATAAACGCCTTTCGATCATCGCAATTGGTACTGCACGGACCGTTTTCACGCCAGCCACGAGTGGATTTATTTTGGCTTCAACGAAAGATAAAATTGAACTTGCGAACGTGTTATAAATATTGCGTTCATTGTTCACATTTTCAGCTATTTTTGCGAAAACAAAATTGTGGCTGGGTATTTTGCGAGAAACGAGCCATTATTGACTTGTCAGAGAAATGGATCTTCGCCCGTCGTAAGTCTGATGGGTAGGGCTGAATAAGTAGGTTCTTCGACAGTCGTAAGCTCTGCTCATAAATTTGCTGCTACCAATTTTTCGCCCGTAAGCTGCACGATACGTTTTACGAAAATCGAGCGCACAGGCGCTACTGGGCAAAGAAAACAATTCGGAGTATTGCCTTAATAAAGAAAATATCCCTGCTATGAAGCTTGTATAGATAATTGAAGCTTTTGACCGTAACAAAAAGTTCTAAAAATAAATCTACGTAACGAACGAGAGGCCGAGCGATGCGCGCATATACATTTAGGCGCGTGTAACCGCAACCAGATGGATTCACGCGAGCATGAAGGTCACGCACGTATACCGTGTTCGTGTGTGTGCGCGTACATATAGTATACCGCGCACGAATATCACGTCGCGCCATAAGATGTTTTACTGCACATGCATAAGTTATAATCTCGAGCTTATAATACACAATACGCGTATCTTTGCACAGCGCCGAGAGTCGGAAAGGCAGCGGCAGAATCATTTTTTTTCCCTGTCGGCTTTTAATTCGTTTCAGCATTTACGCGCACGGTAAAAAACATAATAGAGTTGATTTATGAAAGGGCTTATTTATTCGCCAACTTTTTTTTATCCTCCCCCCTGCGTTCTGTTAATCTGGATTTAACAACTTATGAAGTACAGTTACTGTTCTCAGTTGCAACGATCTGATTTCTACATTAATGCGATTTTTAATGTAGTCGCTTTAAGGGCTTGGCTCTCAATGTTTCAATCTCGTATATTTCCTCTGATTTAATCGCTTGTACTTTTTTGAACTCCTTGAAGTTTAATACATGTGAAAACGCCGGCATATAATCAAATTTTTTAGTGTAAAAAATTTCTTCGACTGTTAGAACTCACAGAGTATACTATCATCGTGCATATGTAAAAAATGATAATAATAACAAAATTATTATCTCGGCAGTGCAATATTTTTATGATGAATGAAAGTAAAATATTATTTTTCATGTATCTAATGGAAAAATATAATATTTTCGTTGAGATTACTTTCATGATGTGCAAACAAACATTTTTTTTTAATTTTTTTTTTTTTTAATGAGGGAAAAAAACAAAATAGAGTACGGAAATAAAAGTACAAGCTTCATTAATTAAAATTTGTACAAGCCACATGTGATACAAAATTAGGGTCGATAGAATCTATTTTTCGAGAAACCAATTGCCCGAAGAGAGAAATGAAATTACAAACAGCAGCTCTAAGCACGCGAGGAAAATGCATAAAGCAGACAGGCATGTGCCGTTGCTGGGCGAGGCATTCCTTAGTCTCGCGTCGTTCCTTGAATTATTTACTCGAAGCGTGCGGCATACTTCGAATTTATTGGCAATTAAAATTTGACGAACGCAGGAACGCGAAAAATTTCTCACCAAGAAGTTAATATAAAAAAAAAAGAAGAAGGAGCGAGGCAAAAGTGGCTGCATTTAGACACGAGAGTTGCCACCGCACGAGCTGTAGTGCAGTTTCCACGAGAGGGTTAATGTGTCGTCAACCGCAGTACTCGACACCGGCTAGCTCGCGCCACTCTCTTAAAGTTTCCTCTGCTTCGTGCCTCGTTCGCTACTCCCTCTTCCACGCAAAATAGTTCTATATAATATATATCCGTATTCACTTTGCAAGGGCTTGGAATTATTTGCTATTTACTATCCTGTACGTGATCTTGCTCGACGAACGGAATCACAATTGAGGTTGCTGACAACCCGTTGCACATTTTTGATACACGTCTAAGCCGAGGTGAGCTTTCTGAGATTCAATTTTAAATTTATATCCATTGTGGATGACTTTATGAAAAAAAAAACTAGTTTTATATGCAGAAACAAGTTTTACACAAACCGCCACTGAATGTTGAGAGTACAGAGCAAAGAGTAGAGAGTAAAGCGAATGTGTAGAGTATGCATAGCTTTGAAACGCATAAAATCATAATATTTTTTCGCGTGCGCGAAAAAATCTTGAGACATTTTTTCCGTAAATAAAAAAAAATTTTTATTCGAGATCTATCTCGAAACTACAGCTCATAAAACATTGCAGGGAAAATGATGAAAGATAAAAGAAATAATATATAGCTCGTCACATAAATTCGATAATTAATAATCATGAAAATTTAAAAAAAAAACTCATTAATACATCTTTATGAAAATAAAATGAACTTACCAATAATAGCAAGTGCAAAGATGATACAATATATTAAAAGTAACTTGGACATAGCAGAATTCATCTCTTCGGTCTGAAAAATGTATATTTTCAATTTGTCACATCTACTTCAAACGATACATCGGTCCGATCTTCAAAACTGCACTTACTTAGAAAAAATGTTCAACTAAAAAACACATGTCGACCTCCCGAACAAAAGTTTCACTAAAATTTCAAGAGCCAATTATTGTTACGAAAGGCATACAACACGATTGATAAACACTGAATCATACTTGAACGAAAGTGAAAAAGTGTGCGGCGAAGGTGGAAACGTGCCGCTAACGGCTGTGGCACGCAACTGAAGCCACGAGAGTGTCAAACACTTACGAGTCGAAACATTGTGCAGCTCTCTCTAGCCTCGCTGCATAGCCGCGAATAGCGCGCATGTGCACCGCTACCGGCACGTTTCCAAGTCCTGAACTCCCACCTCGATAGCTGACCAATTTTTGTTTTATCCCTCCGGCTCCTATCTGCATTATTTTATCCATGTATAGCTTTGTAAGTAAACAACAATTTTCTATATAATATTTTATTTCATTATTTACTAATATTTATTTGACTATTTTTTGAGAACATATTGTTTTATATATTTTTGGTTTTCACATTTTATTATGAAAAATTACGTTAAATTCTGTAACATTTTTAAGGTAATTATTAACATTCTACTCACGTCTGAATTACTACATTCGTTACCTACAGCCAAAAAGTAATGTAATAATCTACTACTTGAACCCGTATAACTTCACCTCGTACATAATGAATTTTCTTTCTTTCAAAATAATTATGAAACGAAAAAAATTTTTTACACGGATTTATTTGCAAGAATATGACAAGTCTATTTGAAATATTTTCCATCTATCTCGTGATTCATAGGTATTCCATTGAGTTTTCGTAATTTGAAGATATCGGTTGTTCCAGCAAAGCTAGCGAAATACTTTCGGCGCGTTGGGCGCGTGGCGCAGTGTCAAAGCTTTGACAAACTAACAATGTGCGAGCGAGCGAAATCATCTATCAGAGGGACTCTTCATCGCGTGTCACGGCTCGGTGTGCTTTGTCACGACGTGCAAGCTCCGGAGTATTTGCGCGGCCATGATTAATCGAACTGCTTGGCAAAAGCTCGTGTACGCAGGCGACTGGCAAAAAAATAATGTAACGTGTTGCTTCCGATCCTTACTTTTCTCGGCCTCGATTCCTCGCTAGCCAAACAGATGCTGCTGCTTCGCACACGAGGAAAAATTGCCTTCAGCTCCCACTGCACTGGACCCGAATCATTTTCTCTATATAAATTACGACTTTCTCAACGGCCACTTGCGCTCACTTGTGTTCTGAATGATCGATAAATTAATTTGCACTTTTTTGCAAAAAAAAAAACAAAAAACAAAAAACAAGAAAAAAAACGAAAAACATCGAGCACTGCAAGGAGGAGCCGCACAAAAGAAAAAAAAGACGCTGCAGCGCTGCTGCGTATACGTGCAAAAGAAGCAAAGTAGGTATAACAGACGTATACGAATCAAATTTTCGAGCTTATTGTCGTCAGATAAAAAGTCTGCGGATCACGTCCGAAGGAGGAAAGAAGAGAATCCCGACTCGCAAAGAACTGTCGTATGTATACGCGCCAACCTGACGTAATATACTTTTCTTCTCTTTCTTTTAAAACGTATATACACGTACTTTCAGAAGCACTGTTAAAAACATAGCAATAATTCGTTTTAAAAAAATTCACTGTTTTTTTAACATAAAAGAGAAATATTATCAAAAATAATTTATAGAATGAAATTTTGAATAAACTTTAAAATCGTTTTTAAAAGCTTCCAAATCATTTTAGAAAAATTAAAGTTGTGTGAATCAATGGTCAAAACTTTTTGATGAGGGAATACTAATTTTCCTGATACAATCTTGTGATCAAGTATTGTCTTTTTTCTACAGAAAACGGTATTATTTGTGGATTATAAATATATTATCACTAATGATTCGAAAAGTTTGAAGTGTAATGGTTATACTTAGATTCTACGTATAATATTCAAGATCAATATTTTAATGAATAATGAAGCCGAAGAGTACCGTCAAAGGAAACATTGAGTGATGAAAAAATTAGGAATAAATCTACTTCTTTCTGTTGCAGATTCATACATCATTCTTTTGGATAATGCCCGCCGTCGATATATCGTTCATAATAAAACTCGGTAGTGCAGGAATAAAGTAAGAGAAATTATGAAACATTTTTTTGTTAATCTTACCAGATATTAGTAAATTAGAAGTATTGACGATAAAATTAGAAAGAAAAACTCTATTTTAAATAATTATAAGAAAAGAATTGAAGAATAATAATTTTTCAAACAAAAATCGAGACTTTTTCCAATGGAAAGCTATAAAGTATACTCACTAAATTTCACTTATATAACATTGATATCTTTCTTAGAGATTGAAAGGTTTCAATTTTTTTCTTCGGTTGTTTTGCCTGTATACTTTTTATGTTTACTTATCAAACTCTTGTGTAAAGTTATTATTCTCAAATTATTTAGCAGGTCAATAGTGATTGAATAGGTATCCGAGTAAAGTTCCCATTATGGTTTGATTAAATTTCTCCTGTTGATGAGTTGCACATCAATTTCAAATGAACGAGTATCTGTGTATTACTGTACTGAAAGTTTGAAAACTTTTTCTATTAGCAAGATAACAGTTTTTTTCGAAAATAAACTTTGCTGACTCCCTTTATTCCCCGCGCATACATCCGAGTAAGAATGAAAATGAGACGAAGAATCTCTTAGAACAAGAGAGTTGAGTGAGTATAGATATATGCTTACATTCTCTATACTTGAGCTACCATACTAACAGTGTCTAAGAGTGAAACTTTGTACTTATTTTTTTTCACAGTGCTCTTTCAGAATCAAGCTATAGAATGACAGAGGAAAAAAGTTAAGTTTCAGAGGCTAGGTGACTAAACCAATACAGCTCTACATTTAATGTGGGGTGCTAAAAAAAGCTCTACTCTTTCGAAAAAAAGTATGCGCTCTTTGCAATGATTTCCTCGCTTTCATGCAGTCTTAAATATGGAAGACTTAACTTTAATTTTATGAATTATCGAAAAATCAAAAAAAAATCCATTAATTATGTACATTTTGACAAAAGCCCACCAGAAATGACTAAATTTCGAAATATTTTTATTAAAATTTTGTTTCAATGTCGAAATTACGCTCCAATGATTTCAATCGCGAACGTAGCAAGAGCAATGAACTGGAATATTGCACGGATGCTGGTGCGAATGAGAGAAATAGCCACTTGTAGATCTATATATTGGTGTAAGGCTATATATATGCACAGTGAAAAAAATCAGAACATATACGTCTATAGAAAAAGAAGAAAAAACCACAAAATTCAGCAAGCAATCACATGTTTTTTTCTATAGGTTTTCGCTTGTCCAATTGAGACATTTAATAGATGAGCGTACGTATCTGCAGGTAAATGTACGATTGCATGTCTAAATATGAAAAAGATTTTGAGATTAAACGATATTGGTGTCTTAATTACTTTCATTCGAGTATTCTGATGGGTACGCGAAACTCCTTTCATGAGAATTTTTTATATTTTTTGTTTCAATAAAATAAGTAAAAGTTTCTATTTGTGTTCAAATTGTTGCAAGTTAAAGTTTGAATATTTTTATTTATTTTATTTTTTTGCTAAAATAATTAAATTTTCAAGAAAATCAATGAATAGAAAGGGTGCATGTTTTATTTGCATTTTTTAATTCAGCTAATATCGAGCGGATTTTAAAAAATTCATCAAAAAAATAATAAAGTACAACTAGTAGAATAGTACATTTTTAAACGATAAAGGTTGAAATTCAATTTGATCAGTTTCTAGATTCGAGAGAAATGTATAGAATTCGTTGAGAATTAATTTAAATTCTTTTGCAGTAAGTATTTAAATTGTTCTTTCTCTTTCTGTATGTTAGAGTGTAATGAATAACTCCCAAGCAAATAAAATACAATTTTCCAGATACTCAAAACTATCTTTTACACAAAATCAATTCATTGATGTTAATTGCCCTTTTTTATTTATTATTTGGTATTTTCCATTAAAAAGAAGTATAGAGAATTCATCAAAGCATACCAACTGTCCTGGCTATCCACGAGTTGCATACATTTGATACACATGCAAGACAAATTGTCACGAGGATTTGGAGTTAATAAAATGTGAGTTTATCCTGGTGTACAAGTGTGTTAGACAAATACTGATTTCATAGTCAGGACGAGTAGCGGCATAGTATCGATTCCCGTTATTAGAGAAAGAGCGATGGGGTTGCAGGGTTTTGGATAGTACCGGAATCTCAAATCGACTAGCCTCGCTCGGACATTAACGTTCGTCCAGCGTGCGTGCTTGTATTTATCCACGAATTAATGCTCCGAACTATTATAATACATGCGCACAATGACGTTCGTCCATCCCATTTCCAAGCTTCCCTCGATGATTTTTAATTACTTCATCGCTATACTTTTTCCAAGACTATAAATAATAGCCGCGATTCTCAGTTTTTTTTCCACGTGCGAAAGAAAAAACGGGGCTAAATGCTTCCCCTCGTCTGATCCTTCCGAAACCTACATGTTCGTCTAACTCTTACACAGACGCATACACACACACATACATCCGAAGCAATCATCTGGTTCGTTAGTTTGATTGTAAGTTTTTCTGACTTTCATTTGCTCTTGCTACATTTCAGCTCCGTCGTTTTTTTTCATCCCTCGCACACTCTACTCCAAGCAGCAACCCGACTCATTCCGCAGCGGAGACGTGCTTCGCATCTCGTGCACCATCCCTTCGAGCACATTCATCTGCAATACGTATACGCACGCATCTTTATTGCGCACCAAAAGTCACACGTTCGATTAATCTTTTTATCTATCATAATATTTTTTACACTTCGCACGTTGACTACATAGAAAATTTTAGAGAACGTAGTATTTGTTCACAATGTGTTTTCAAGTCTTGTACTGTATTAAGAAAAAACTCTTATTTTTCGAATAAAGTCGTCACACGAATGTCAATCGCAAGTCCCTTCGTTTAATTACTAGTCAGAACCCTCTAGAGGATCTGTGTAAAATTTTAGCTCAATCGGTCGACTTGTTGTCGAGAAATCAAGCATACCGTACAAAAAAAAAGTTTCGCGAAAAACGTATTTAAAGTTTTTTTACCATGATTTGAATAATTTTTGAATGATTGTATATTATATTATAGAAATTCACATCAAGTCATCATCAATTCCATAATAATTCCT